TCTATTTGCTTCGAGATTACTACTTTTCCGAACATTATCGTTAATGATCGCGATTATTTGACTGTAATAAAATTCAGTTAAATGAAAATAAATCGAAATATTTCACAAAACCATTCCACAGGAATCTGAAAACCTAACTGCATTTTTAACTATACATTTTAACGGCTATAAAAATTCTATGTACAATCCATTCCGGAACTGTTACCCCTCGATTTCGTTGTACAGTAACCGTGTAATTTCCGCAATTCCATCCAAGATAACAAATGAGCAAAGTAAAAAAAAGTTTGAATAATACATGGAAAAAACGATCAGTTACGGACGCGTGTTTGGATACGTGAATTGGATTTAAAAAGGACATCCATGGAATATTCAATGCTATCTGGACTGTGATTGGTTAATTTCTTACGGCTTAAGGCTTACTGCACTTATTGTAGATCAGAATTAATACAAAGTAGCGTGAAAAGAGAAGTCAAAAGAAAATATTTGGATTAGAAGATTTCTTAAAATCCCAGATGCTCATAATCAATCCGGTCACCTTCTAAATGTCCCAGAACGCTCTAAATGGCTGAAAAAGAGAATCCAGATAATAACGATATCCAGAAAAAAGATGATGAATGGCAACCCCGATTCCTCATCAAATCTGTAGCAACTACATATCACCTTCTAAATGTTCCATTTCACAGACATTTCTTAATTCTCTAAACATGCTTGCAGCATGCCCTGATCTAGTATTTAATTCAGGTGTCACCTATGTACTTTAAGCACGCGCGCTTAAGGTTCACACACCGCAGCGCACCGCGTTGCGCCATGTCGTGTCACAGTGCTGCAAGCTAAATCAAACAACGCCGCAAATTGCAAATGGGAACTAATTGCTTTCACGCTTTACTTACAACCGCAGTAACGTTTTAACAAGCTCTGACGCAGAAGTGGCGGCGAGCCTTGCATTAGGGAGGGCTACACGTCCCTGATCTCTCGCCCTCTATAAATAGGAGGAAATTTAATGCGCATGAAGGACGCAAGAACGCAACGCACAGAGAATTGCCAATTAGCATCGCAGACAAAAGTGAAACTCAATGATGCTCACCTGACGCACACACGCGCTAATGTCGATTGTATAGTAACGAGGGAAAATCGGTAATTAGATGGCAAGAGGATTGCGGCAATGCCTGAGAGCGAACAACATGTGACATCTCTGTCGACATTTCCCGGTAGATAGTCACATAATTATTTTAATGCGCATAATTTGCGGGAAACGACAAAAGCTGTTGCTATAACGCTTACTATTTTACGATTAAAAGTAAAACGCCGTTCAGATAAGGATATTTATATTTAATTTATATTGCACTATCTGCGAATATTGTGTGCATTATTCTCATTAGAATGGAATTTTTATCTATTTTGTTTTACACGTTTTTGATTGACATCAGGTGGTCGAAAAATGCTCGATTCGGGAAACTGGGAGTTTACTTTTACGCGAGTATTCTCCAAATGCCAACAACGGGTGCGCTAAATGGCGATCATTTAATGTTGCGCCAAAGAAGGTAAGGCTCCCTGTGAATAATTAAACTTTCCGAGGACTGTGTATGAAAGAAACGTGTCGAAAGTTAATCGCGGCTCCTGCATTTCAGTGATTACCTCTGAATAGTTTAAATCTCCATTGCGTCGAGTTTATAAAAAGGTTTTATGAACTCGACGCAATGGAGCTTCAAACTATTTCCATCCCAGTTATACGCAAAAGTCGGTATGACTTTGATTTCACAAGCTACAGACGCGTCGTTAAACATCGGCGAAGGATAAAATCCTTTTACAGAGGTGATTCCACACCGCGGACTGAAAAGAACGCTTTTAACTTCCTTTATTTTTATACATGAAAAAACGGTTTCGCTAAAGAGAGTATTTGAAAATTTATATATAAATACAAATCTGAAAATATTAAGCATTGATGCTGCAAAAACTTTTTATTCTAGCGACCAGCTTGTTATGTCTATGTAATTACTATAATAAATTTAATATAATTATTTTTAGATCTATAGATATATTTATAGATCTAACTAAATTTTTAGACAGCAAAATCGTTTGTATTTTTTTTTTGTATATAATGCCGTTTTTATTTATTATTTAGATATACAATCTACACACAATTATTAAAGAAATGTTATTATAAAAGGTAGTATGCCCGATGAATACACCTAATATTCGAATAAATGAATAAAAGAATTAAAATTTTAGAATATATATATGTATATATATCCTACAATATATAATATATTGATTTATTGACTTTATCATGACTTCTCCCGCAAGATAAAGTACTTGACTGCACTTAATCCTTTAATGCGATATATACTTTGTACATCTTGGAACTTTTTTATATATATTTTATAATTAAAAAATAGCTTTAACTTAATTCTCCTTTTTTGATACTTCAATAAAACTGATCTTTCCGTATAAGGACATGAATAGCGAACGGATGCTTGAGACGAACGACACGATTAACGAGACTGTTGAAATTATTCTCGGAAATAACGTTGTTGACAAGGCAGAAGACAACTCCACGAATATACGAGATGATCACTCGTCCCTCTTTCGCTTCGATCTTCATCCGAACGACATCCTCTTTACTTTCTGTCATCTTAATGATTTTACAACGCAAAACTCGCAGCAAAGGTGGGAGATCCGTCTCTCGAAGAGCACATTGATAAAACACCGGGGATGATATTACGTATTATATGGAGCATCACCGCTTTCATGATGCCACGACTTTGTTTGCGAAACAGCGTTTGTGCACGGACATATGTGCGTGTGCCGCGGCTATCGTTGGTGTGTTTGCCTTGATGATACAATTGTGTGTACAGCGCAGGAGGCTCTGTTCGTCCCGACCTAGGCACCCGTGCTTAGCTGGTCGTTTGGCGATGTGCATAGGCTGCTAGATATCTATGTTTGTACATGCAGAATATTCGTCGCATTCACGGCCGCTACTGATTTACAATAGAATTACTAAGATGAATCTGATAATGCACCTAAAACGTAATATTCGAAGAATATAATATTCACCTTGATAATTTTATTCTAGAATCTCTCTCTCTCTCTCTCTCTCTCTCTCTCTACAGCGTTCATTTAAACTAATAACTGATATCTCTGAATGATAGCTCTTCGTTTTTGCTTTTTAGATATATATTTGTCGTTTTTATAAAAATAATCTAGATAAAATAGTAAATATCTTGCTTAGAGAAGTCACCTCCGATGACCTTAACTTTGATATATATTATCATGATCTTGAATGATCTTCAAAAGATTTTAGTTGGTGCGCTCGTTGTTTGTTAAAAAGTTTTAATAATAAAAAAGTTATTGTACAAATTAGATGATATGGGGATTTGTGACACGTACGACTTTTCGCACGAAGCAAGATCCACCTCATCTCTCTCCCTCTCTGTCTAGGGGCAATAACAAGCACGAGCTAAGACCTTCTAAAGATCACTTAGAATCATGATCTTGATAGCATATGGCTCTCCTAAACAGGATATTTGCCGATAAAAATGTTTTATATTTTTCTTCGTAAGAGAGTTTTAAAACTACATTTTGAAAAAATTCTAACAATTAATTAAAGATAAAAGTAAATAAAGATCCAAAAGTCTTTAAATGTCAATTTCACGTTTTTCTATAAAAATTGACTTAATAAAAATTATCTTAATTCTTTACCTCAATCTCATAATAGATCTTTTTAAAGTTATATATTTCCAATTGAATTAATATTTTAAACAATTTTAAGAAAAGTGAAAAATAGGTTATTTAAATTATTAGTTAGAACATTTATATATAAGAAGAATCTCTTGTAGAATAACATTTATATTTGCTAATATAGAATATTAGAAAATTATTAAATAAGCATCTATTACTTATTATGCAATATTGTCTTCTTCATTATTTTTCACTTTAATACAAAATAATTATTATAATACATTTTTATTGGAGTGATACAATTTCTAGTATTTTCTATTTTTTCTCTTTGCACACATTCTTGTTCTTTAAACAGTGTTACAAATAATATTATCACAAATACGTTGATATCTGATATCTGATATACTGCTTCAAGATGGCTATTTTAAGAACAGACTTTCCGAAATAAAGAAGCAAATGGAGTTGGTGGAAAGTATTAATGCGAGGTATGGAAGTAAGATAAGTGAGCCGTGGCGGTCGTTACGCGCCACGGCCGCCAGATATATCCGGGATCGCAAAACTAATTTCAGTCTCTAATGGTTCTGCCAATAGCAATTTCTATAAGACTGAATAGTGATTCTCAGATATTAAGAGAGAGCGAGAAACTCTCCTTCGACTCTTTCCGCAAGAGATGCTGCCGTGCAATTTCCGTCCGCTTTCTCCTCGTGCCCTGTTTCAGTGTTCTTCCATCTACCTCTAACCACCCTAGGTAGAGGCATTAAACACCTAATGAACTCTTTTTTTCGTCACATTGATAGCGAAAAGGACTGCAATGATTGATTTTCTAACTAATGACGAAACTTTTTATCTTGAACGAACGCTGCCAAGAATAATTCAATTTAAACCAAAATGGAAATCTCTCTACCGTTTATAAAAGTTCATCTTTATTAATCGTTACAGATATCACTCGATTATTATTCATTAAAAGTATTTATTCTCTCTTTCCATGCGATAAAAATTATTTAATTAATAATTTAAGAATTGATAATTAATAATAAAAAATTATTATACGAGAGAGACTAAACAATTTGATTTATTACATTATTAACGAGACTAATTTATAAAATGATAAACATATTTACACGTCTTTATCGGTCATTTCTACTTATATCATTCGCATGTGTATAATTTAATCATTATTCACACAAGTGTATATAGTGATATGTATATATATAGATAAGTTTACACAAATATTTGATTTTATTGCTAATCTAATCTTTTCCAACATTTTGCGACTACATTTTTAATATTTTTGCTATTTTATCACGTATAGGTATGCTTTCTTACGATTTTCGGTGCACAATAATGTTTGACTTGAATTTATAAAAAATATGACATGACACAATAAGCATTCTGTTTGGATATATGTACATGAGATATAAAATATATAATTTTAATAATTTTATGAACTAATTTAGAGAACACCTCATGCGCGACATGTGCGAATCTTGATCTGTTGTTATTTCTTTCTCGGGCTACTGCCCAATGTCGATTATATTATACATCTGTAAGTATATTATTTCTTCAGTAATATACACATAAACGGGTAAGCACTGCATGTGGCAGCGACGAATCGATATGTCTGCTTCCAGCGCGTTTTGAGATATCGCATAAACTATCCACTTTTATCACGTACAAAGTACATCAACGTCGCGAGCAATTTCAACGCGATTGCCCAAAAATTCGTTTGCTCATGCATCTTGAAAGGTCATCTCCTTCGACTTTCCGCTCGCAATTTTCAATTTCCTCCTTTTTATCGATCCCCCGTTGAGAGCGAACGTCGAAGAACCCCGATAGAGATTTTTGGCGAGATCTCTTATAGTATACCAAATTATTTTTCTTTAAAACGCACAATTTACGAGAGGCAATATGCTTTCTCGGTATCCAATAGAGGATCTTCCTTCTGTGATATCGGATCGAACCGAAGGCGCTTCGATTCTTCGTCCTTCAGTTACTTCAATCGCATAGCTCCTTTTGTATCTGCACAAAGGTTTTGCCTTTCGTCTCAGGCGAGAGGCGAAGAATTAAGGCGGTGCATACCGTCACGATCACAAAGAATGCTAAGTAAGGCACCGAGTGGCCGTAGTTCCATGTGACGGCTACTAAAATGTAAGCTTTCGCCGCTATGACGGAGAAGCAACCGCTAGTGACAGCCAAAAGACACGTGGCAAGAGCTTTAATTTCGGTGGCAAACATCTCGGACATCATAATCATCTGCATGGGGAGCAAACCGCAATTGAAGGCGAACACAAGTAGCATCGCCGCGATTAATAGCACCGCCGAGTATGCGGACATGTCTGCGTTCAGGTAGTCCTTTGCATAGAAGAAGACGCCGATCACGAAATTCGACGCGGCAGCGATCAAGCCGGAGAAGAGTATTAGCGGCTTACGACCTAACTTATCAACCAGGAAGATGGTAATTGTCGCGGAGACCACCTGCACCACGCCAATCACGACGTTGGCCGTGTGATCGGAAACTATCTCGAGCTGAGCGGATTTGAAAAGGAGTTGGCCGTACGCGATGATCATGAAGAAGCCGCCGATATGATGGGTGATCGTAATAAGATTGATGATAATAAAGGCGCGACAACTGGCGCGCTCGGTTAAGAGCAGTCTTATTCCACCAGTTCGCCGCTGCTTTTCGTCGCACAATGATTCGACTATCACCTGCAATTCTTCCGAGACATCCATCTTACCGCGCAGTTTCTCCAACGCTTCCTCCGCCTCATCCATTTTCCCCTTCATGGCCAAATAGTACGGTGACTCCATCATGAAGCAGAAGGCGATCGTGAAGCCAATGGACACCGTCAGCCAAATAGCTGCCGCCGTTGATATCGACAGGTATGGCGCGACGATGAACATCCCGAGAATGCCGAGATTGAATGTAATCGTGTTCGCGGCTCCTCCGGCCCCTCGTGTGCTCGGCGACGCAATTTCTCCGATGTACATCGTGAATACGCACATGTATTGGCCAAGGCACAGACCGCCCATCAGCTTGGCCACATAGAGAACCTATAGTAAAATCTTATACCACTATAAGTCTATTACTTTTTAAAATTTCCGTAAGTTGACAAAGAGAATATTATGATGCTAAATAAACAAACTGCAAAAGAGATTGAATATATTATATTAATGTTAACTCTTCGGACGTAGATCTTCTATTGGACTCATTCAATTATATCCCTCCGAAACAGACGGTCTATTCTATTGGATCCACTTGGCAGTGATTGTTTGGACAATAAACATTTTGATAAGTAAAAATATTTTAGTTTTTCCAAGTAATGTTCAGATAAAAAATACAATTATTATACATATATTTGAAGTATTTGAATTTAAGATCCAGCTAGCTAGAACATTAAAAAGCATTTACCTCCTAAAAATTGTGTACTCACACATACGGTTCTACGAGATTATTAACTTGTATCTTAACTAAATTAAATTTTCAAGGCTGTTAACTTAACTTAGTAAAAAAAAGATAATTTATCCAACTCTGTCTATTATAAAATATAGCTAAAATATTTTTCTCAATTATTACAATTTTCTAATGTAATTTGACAAATATACTCTGTTAAAATAATTCGCAATATTATTATCATTTTAGTGAAATAGTATGTCGAAAATATTTGCGCAAACAGTTATCAATATTTTATAAAAAAAAATCAGAGTTTCTGCATTTATTTTTATAAATATACATCCGTTTAATTACAGATTACAAATTTTATGCAAAGACTGTATCATAAATTTCATATAAAGATCACGTATGACTTTATCATATATATACTCGTATATAAAATTTGTATAAAATTTAAACATCCTGTCAAGGAATATGACATTTCACAAAGATACTATTGCTTACCCAGATATTCGTAGCGATCGTGATCAAACCCCAACAAACTGTCGACGACATTCCACTAAATAGAATAGTTTTTTTTCGACCTATTCTGTCGACTATGAGTTGGTTGATTATCGGTCCCAGTATGTGACCAATGGCGACCATGGCTACTAGGGTGGAAACGTTGGAGACGGTAACAGAGATCGACGATTCCGGCGCCATCAGCTTCACGATGCTCGGCGAATCCCATCCTATGATTGCTCCGATGCATAAGCTCATGATTGAACCTAGATTTCGCATAATTGCATTAAGTAATCATGATATTCGAATGATCGGTTGATTGAATGAGAGATCGCTGACAATAGTAATAATTAGCAAAAACAATAAGGAATTATTGCCGAAATAGTATAAATAATCATTTCTCGTAAAAATTAAAACGGAAATTACTCTTACAATTAAATGCAGTCAGATACTCCCACATCTTCGAGCCTTCCGGTGTCACGTATTTTCCGTTCTCGACGCTAGCGCCCATCTCGGCGGAATTACACTCAAATTCTCACGCAAAACTGAACACCTCGCGCGATTCTGCGGTCTCGCAATACTGGAGTAGAGAACGTGATAGAATAGACAAGAGATTCTATGTACATAACTATACATATACTTCAACAAGATAACATAATAATTGCTGTGATAAGTATAAGTGTGATTTACGAGATGTTGATTTATGGCAGTACAAATACATGAAAAACATATTGGAAATAATATATTAAGGTTCTAATTCAAGAGCTCTCTGACATTGAGAGAGGAAAAGAAGGGTAGAATCCCGCGAATCCCAATAGGTTATTCCTCGTTCCTATATTCCCTTCGGATCTCTCAAGTTAGAACCGATTTTATTACATAATTAGAAAATTTGTGTTAAATTTAAGACATTTTACATCCCAAACGGTCCATTTAAAATTAATTAGTGTTAATTTAACACAAAATAAATATGTTAGAAAATAACATAAATATTGTTTTTAAAGATCTTCGAGTTAAAAGATACATTTGAGTCGTCATATTTTTTAGAATCTATTTAAAATAGGATAAAATAGATTATGTACAAGATAGAATAGATCTCTACACGTTTTTTATTCTATTTTAAGCATTTTAAAAAATATGGCGGGCCAATCGAAAACTGTTTAAACAGTGCCCAATCTCTTACTTGAGAATCTGTAATTTTCTATCCATTCTATTTTTAGATTTTTTTGTCCCTTTTCTCGCAGTTTTGGCAAATATTGTAACCGTTCTCAAAGAAAAAAAAAATGCCATTAGAGGTGGAAATTAATACCTCATGCACTCTTACAACATCAACTTTGATCTCAGATTCAATGCTGACTGCCTTTGAAGGAATCATTGTTATTATATAATGTACAATAATGTATATACAAATGTTCCATAGTGTCGCCAATTGTGTCTTATGCTTGTGTCATGTTACGCATTGAAGATTGAGGATTGCGAATTGAAGATATAAGAACAATCAGAATCAAATGGGTCAAAATTAAAATTATCTCATTGGTCAAATTCTAATCTTCAATTCGCAATCCTCCAATGTATAATGTGACACAGTCATTAGACACATGATTAATGATGTAAATTCGAATAAATATTATTAAGAAATAATTAACACAAAAATATAACGCTTCAACACAATTTGGAAACATATTTCGTTAGTAAAATTAATCTTTATATGTTAATTATCACATTTCAAAAATGTTGATGACCAAGAAATGAACAAAAAATTATAATACATGTATAACTGTAATGTTCAATAATATTCAAAACGTACATTTCGGCTGCACAGAATCTTCTCAAATTTCAATAGTCATCAGATTAATATATCTAATTTAAAAATTGTAAAAAATAAACTTCCGCATAAAATGAAAAACAAATTTTGATCATAATCATACAAACACATTATTGACAATGCGAAACAGATTGTATCGATAAGAATTTAAAAAATATTCAAAGAATACCATAACCGACTAAATTTCACCATTAAATCGTTGTTTCCTAGATTTTTTGTTGAAAGTCAGTAACAAGGTTTATGTACATATATTGGTTCCATAGAGAGAAAAACATTTTCTCTCCTACAATTCAGAACATCTATTATGTAATAAAATAGAAATCATTTACAATCTAGTTATTTCAGTTGATAGAATTATTTTACTTTCTCATACTCAAGGTTTCAATGAAAAAATTTGGTTAACCTTCCAAAAACGATCTAATTTTTATATTTACCGATAAGAAAGCTTAAATGTTTGAATAAAGTTATATACCACCTAAGTTGAATTATCTTTACACAAGTCAAATCATTTCCGAATAACTTTCATGTTAACCTTGACCTTCAAAAAGATCAAACCCACCTTCGTAAAAAAATCGCGTTACTTTTTTATTATTTTAACACACACACACAAAATAGAAGCTTAAAAATACCTCTCCAAATTGAAAATTGGAAATAGCCCGGAAATGTAGGGCTACATTTTTACATACCAGAACATTCGAAGACTAAAAAAATTGATTGAAAACGACGGGGATTTTGTAATTCCATTCGCATTTTTATTGCATAACCAGTCGCTACTAGCTCGTCGCGTCGCATCGCGTCGGATTATTGGCGAGAGATTACTTCTGGCAAGCAATTTTACATACTTTCCCGCAAATGCACTACTCGCACTGATTCAACGTTTTCGTTAGAGAAAAAAACATCGATCTAGCACGTATACCGTGCTATCATTGTTTGTGCGGTCTGGCCTTTGTTTTTAACGGGGACGCGCTGTTAGTAGAACAAATATTTTTGCACGAATTGTATACCTATAAAACTGATGCGCGCAGTTTGTAACAATGCGTTAGCTGTATCTTTTTCTTCTTCCGAGAATGCTTCTCTTCTTTGTTGATAAGCACGAAAAATTACGTAAGTAGTTTAACAATCATAGCATGAAACTCAATAACGATATACACAGCTGCTTCGTAGACGTTGATTTAATCTATCGCTCGTCTATGCATCGAATCGGCAATTGCATTACAGCAATTATCGGTTAGTAATTAATTTCATATACCTTAATAAATTATCCTCGGAATACTATTCTCTAAATCTCATGAAGTGAAATCTCACTCAAGGATATTGAAAATTGAGATAGTCTTGAAAAAATGAGTGAAAATACTACCGCTCTTGTTTAAGAGTGGTGGATAAGAGATTTACTTCTTTTGGAATAAAATTCACTCCAAAGGAGTGTAAAATCTTCTGGAGTATAATATCAGAATAGACTTCACTCCAAAAAAAGGATTGACATTTCACTCCTTCGGAGTGAATCTCTTATTCCGAAAGTATAATATTTTCACACTCATTTTTCAAGATTGGCTCAATTTTCAGTTTCTTTGAATGAGATTTTACTCCATAAGATATAGGAATCCGTTCTTTTTTCCTGAAAATTTTATATCGATACCACAGTATAACTACATATGGTAAGGACACTAAAGGCTTGTTCGCATCACATACTTCAACATGCTCCTATCATAGCTCTTACTCCAATACGCTTATCAAAGGAGCATACAAGAGTATATGTGACGTTAACTTGAGCGTCAGCATTTGATGTAGTGTAAGTCCCAGGTCACATGACTCGCTGTCTTATTCCTGGAGTGCTTTCCAAAACTCGATTGGCCACGTGACCAAATATAATTTTGAATATAGTATAAAATCAGACTATAAATACCTTACATTTTCTTATAGTTCAGATAACTAATTCATTTTTTTATAAGTTGACATTGTCGACATGCAAGGATCATTCTTTCCTGGCATTTTATAAGTAACAAAAACAGAACGATACTTATATCGAACTTGTATCACCATAAATGAAAAACACCCTATATATAAGAAGTCACAAGCAAGCACTATATACCTAACTTGAAAAAAAGTTACAATGTTATATAATCACTTAAAAATACTGTTAAATTTTTATTCATTTTTATTGAAACTGGATCACGGATCTTTTCGCTCTGAGAGCGAATTTTCAATATCGATTGTCCTTACGCTTCATGACTTTCCGCAAGAATGTATCTAGAAATAGTGTTACATTTGAGAAGAACCCAAGAGGGATAAACGTCGCGTGAAGGATGAGACGCCTCCGAATCCTATCACTTTAGCAGGATACTACTATACAGATCGTCCCCGAAACAACCTTGCACGGGGAATCGATTGGTCGGTCTTCCGAACGGCGACCGGTGAGACAAGCTCCCGTACATTGATATTCAGTAGCGGACCTCGTCTCTTCGAACCGTCAAGAAATTTTACCCGGAGCATTGCAACACGCGCGTTCCCCGTGGAATCGCTAAGTTTCCTCCGTCGACAATGTCGACGGTGGTTCGAGTATCGAATAATTATCCAAGTCGAGTAAGTAGCCCGACGCCGTGACAAGCGTGACGAGCTTCGGAATTCGTTATCTGCCATCGTGGTGCACTGTCGTAATGAAATCCTTCGAAGGGATCTTCTTATCCTACTTCGAACATATCGATTCGTCTTCTCCAGTCGCTAATTAAGTACGCCTGGACTATATAACTTTCCCAATCTTGGAATTTTATTAATGATTACACTATTAGAAGTATTTATTAGTTTAAATTTTCACGGTCCAATAAGATTTGATGCTATTAGAAATACGTTGCAAACACTTAATAAATTTTTTACTAATAATATTTTACAAACATATATATTTATCATTATTCGATCTTTACGTACGTTGAAAAAAATAATTGTTTTTAAAATTACCATTTAAACACTTTATAGTCAAAATCTCATAAACAATTCTATGTTTCAATTTCCAAATATCTTACAAACAATTCAATAATTATTTTAAAGCTCAATGAAACATCCACTCAATATTTCAACAAATTTCTTTAAACTTTTAATAAATATTTTGTCAGAGAAACGCTGCATTATAATATTATTTTTATTTCATTGAAATGTTACACTCGCGCATATATTTATATATTTCGGTATTATTATCTAAACTGACTCTGTTTCGAAAAGAGCTCATATTTTCCCTTTTGGTGGAAATTCCCTAAATCCATAATAATCGATTACTTAAAACAGAATCAGGCGTGCAATTTCCGATCGAATGGTCGATTTTTCTATTTTGCACGGCGAAAAATCCATATATCTATAACGTATATCTACATCGATATACGTTTCGGACAACAATCAAAGAGCCAGAACGGGCTTTGCAACGGAATGGCTTTGATCGTTCTATTAAATATCCCTTGTCTATTGAATAAATCCATACCGCTATATGGGCACGATAGATATTTCTATTCGTCGATGGAAACAATTGTTGATATTCCGGCCCACTTGTGATATCCTCCGCCGATCTGGCAAAACCGATGCATTCGGGTATTAAACTGAAATATCAAATCAACAGCAGAATAACCGTGTACCTCCATGCGATTTTATAAATCCGGGTCGAATCTGCAGATATGTATGTCTCTCTGCAAAAGAGGGGAAATTGTTGCACAACAAACCCGGACATACTGAAAGA